CAGAGACATCTCTCTATTTCCTTGTGTTCCGAGCGTTCTGATCGAAACATGCAGGCAGGAATTACAACGGGTCGAACACTGGAAAAAAATGGTGTTCCTTCCCCATCTTCTACATGTAAAGCTCCCAAACATCCATTAAGCCAACCAAAAGGCAGCCAAAAGAAAGGATGGCAGAGGGATCCCAAAGATGTTCAAAACTTTGGGTCTCTGTTCCAGAATCAACACAAGTAATAGGGAAGGAGGGTTTTAACTTCAAGAGCAAAATCCAGGATGACCTTCAAATGTTCACATCAAATCCAGGCATAGCCCGAGAAGGCCAGCATGTGGCATGGCAGTGCGGTCCATTATCTTCCTGGCTGCCACGTGGATTCCATTAACATTCACCTCACTGAGGTCCCCGTGCGCTGCATCTGCTATCTGCTCCACCCCTACTAACGTATGACAGATGGTCCCAATTTTGCCAGGGCCTTCTAAACGGAGCATTAATTTCCAAAAAGGAAAGCGAGGCAGATGCACTTCAGCCACCAGAGGGAATCCTTCCAGAAAACCATTCATTTTAACTGACTTGAGCAGAAAGTAAAATCTAAAATCAAAATGAGGAGCTGCTCCCAAGCGGTTTTTACGTACCCAAAGGGGACATGGAAAGAATAGGTAGGTATACTCATGATCAAGAGAACGCAGATAAACATTTCCACAGAAATATTAAGCAGGGTGATCCTGCACAGTGACCCAGTTCACACACTATTCTAGTCCATAGTTTATTTAACTCACAGTCAACCCATGCATTGCTGCCTATACCACATCTGGCCACTGGGCAACAGAAGGAGGGCTTCTAGCGTCACTTGGCCTTCTGGCTGCCAGCTGCCCGTTTTGCAAAGAGACCGGCTGGTGTTTTGGAGCCAAAGGGCAAGAAGGGAAGGGCTGAGCTCACTCGCTGTACTCGCTGTAAGTGATCGATCATGCAAATAATAAAGCAGTGGCTTCCCAGATCCTTCCCTGAGACCCCACTGACTGAGCCTGGCCCTGGGATCCAGTTGGCAGGTTGCCCCCGGCATGGACTCCAGGAAGGGCCAGCAGATAATGGTCTCGTACGACTCACAGGAATGAGAATGTTGCCGGGGCGGGAGAGGCAGAGCAAACAGCCCTTGATCTCCACTCTGGAACTGTATAAGCAATTCAGGGAAGAAGCAGGCCATCTCAGCAAGCATGTGGGCTGCAGGAGAAGAGCAGCCATCAAAAGGGGGAAGAATCAAAGCACCTTCATTCTATACATCCAGGCATGGCAGGGAGGTTAATTCTTCTCAAACCAGAAAATAAATTCCAGGTTGCAACTCAAATGTAGCAGATGAAATATGAAAGGAATTTCTTTATGGCTATAATGACAAACACATTTCTCCAGCCCCTGCTGTCCATGTTTAATTAGGGTGACGTATGTTAATGACACGGCAGCGCAGCCCAGAGACGTCTTCAGTTGCAATATTAATTGCATTTAGAGAAAGAAGCATGAATTGTGCTTATACAAGCTAATTAGTATGGGTTTGCTAATTAATACTGGAAAGTCAAATTGCCTTTGTCTTGTCAACTACAATTAGCTGGAGCTGTTTAAATTTCTCTCTTTTTTTCAAGTAGTAAACTGACTTTTAGCAGAGAAGTAATTGAATCGTGTGTTGGAACATACTGTGTCAGTTAGCTTAGCAGGTCTATTACCCTTTGATACAGTATTTTTGGATTAGCTTTGGATCCCTTTGGAGAGAAATCTTTTTGCTAAATCTTTTTGATTTTACGGCCATTCTCATCTTTGTTATGTGGTGGCGTTTTGTCTGATGCTGCTCCCCAACCACCCTTTGGCTCTGCTTGGAGAGCCCTTTTTGGGACTAAAGGGAATGCAAAAAATATGTGTATAAATACTGACAAACACACACTGCCGGTTTTAAAAAAGGAAGAAAAATACTCCAGAGTCATGGAGCCAACATGGAGTTGCCAAGTGGAGTTAGTGCAGCCATTTTAATATCTCAATTAAAAGCCATTCTTGCGTCAGATCTGAAAGCAGTTAATCCTCTAGGAATGACTATCCATGGCACAGTTTGACACCGCTGGCATGTTTTCCTTCCAGAAGGCCCAGTGTTGGAACTGCAAAATAGTTACATCCCAGCTGAAGGACCTTGGCATGTATGTGGCAGCTCATTACAGAAATCGCAAGGGTGCCGGCAACCAAAATGAGAGCGCATTAATAGAGCTGTCCGGGCGATTCTGAAAGCAGGACAGGGCAGGAACGGTCGGACTGGAGTCTCGTGCCAGATTCGGTCAGAGCGGGCCCACACCTCTCCCTGATGCTCCATCTACGGGGCGTTCTATGGTTCACCTGGCACCCACGCTTCTTTCCTTTCGGGGTCAAGTGAAAACCTTTTTATTCTCCCAATATTTTAATTGTTGATATATTTTAACTGGTGGTTTTATACTTAATTTCAGATGCTGTGCCCCTCCTGCTCTAATTTCTATTTTTATTCTATCTTATTAATGGAGTTGTAAACCATCCCGAGATGTCTGAAATGGGATGGTATGGAAAAGTTTTAAATAAATAAAGACGGAAATGTATTTAGATTAAATATGCATCCTGTGGTCATTTTCTAAGGATAGCAATGGCTTCCACCAATCATGTATTTCCGCTCCTACAGCAAGGGATAAAGTTCACTGCTCACCGAGCTCACATGGGCGTGGGGGTCGCCCTTTGGGAGCTACAGCTCCGTGACAGAGGACTTCCTTCCCACGCCATCCTGACATCTCCCAGATCAGGTAACAGGTGCTGGATGGCACCTTGGGGGACTTCGCCAGTCACAACAGAGAAATGTTTGATGAGGTCTAAGGCAGCGTCTCTCCACCAAGATGGAGCCATTAGTGGAATCCTGGAATCCAAGATCAGGCGATGGAGCCAGGAGATTGAGCTTCAGCTGTGCCAGGCCAGGTGATGGAGAGCGGAGTTTTGGCACAAGAGGAGAAGATCCTGTGGCACACCCAGGTACGAGCAGGAGAGACCACGTTCTCAGCTGCCGTCCCAGGCCTGGCGCCCAACTTCTGTGCCACTGAGGACCTTATGGCAACCCGTAATTTCCTTTTCTGTGCCCCGAAGTGGGTTCTGAAGCCGAAACACAAACTGCCTGGGGTGGGGAGGGGGTCCCGGGCTATGTCCCACCCAGTTACGAGGTTCATGACTGCATCCACCTGTAATTCTAGCTCTCCAGACAGAAAAACCTGTTCAGTCTTTAAGACCGTGTGACCCTTCCAGTGGCTAGACAGCAGGCAGTTCCAGCAACTGGTATTTAACCATGAACCACAGTGCATACAGCACTTTTGCCGACTGCTTGTGCTGCAGGTCACTTGGCTTCTAGGAACAGGAATTCAGTTTGCCATGAACTTTTTTAATGCCCATGCAAGCCGTTTGCTGCTGTTTAGGTTCTCTGGAGCACAGAGGTTCTGGCCATGAAGCCCAAAACCTTCTCATTGTCAGCTCTTGAACTGCCAAACTTTGAACCGCTCCTTATGTATAAATATAAAGAAAGCAACGGGGGGGGGGGGGAACGCAGCGTTGTTGGTTCTTCCAGCCCAGGACTGGACTGCCTGGGGTCACATGCCTGGGGTCACATGATCTAAGCCAAGGAACAGAGGGAAAGCGGAAGAGAACTAGTCTTATAACTGCCACTTAATCACAGCCTTCACCCCCTTTTAACGGTCTTGATAAATAAGCAACTAGAGAAAACATTTGACAGTATACAAAGGACCGCGTTTCTGTTCACAGCCATCGGGGGAATCACAATTTATTTTGGAATATGACAAGCCTATTTTCCTACTTTAATACTTCAACATTTAATCACGGAGTATCAAAGTTTTGAACAATGTACCATGAAATGCGCAGATCTTTAAGCCATGAAATAAGTGCTCCTTTCCTGAAAATTAAATGCAGCCCTCAAGCTCTACTCCCAAGCAGCATGTCAAAAGGAAAAACGGTGTTTATCACGGTGTGGCACCATATGATCCCTCTCAGTGCAATGCAGGATTCGCCAGGAACAGCGGCCGGGCCTGCCTCTGCGCAGGCCCCAGAAGGAGATGGGGCAAGGCTTGCTCACATCCCCACTGGGGATCGGCGCCCCAAACATGGAGGAGAACTGCCAGGATTTATAGGAGACGTACATGCAAGCCCATGCGCAACCACACTTAGCAAGTTGTCTCCCTTCCGGTTGCCTGACTTGGAAACGGAGCTGGGAGAAGCAAAGAGAAGGGCAACAGAAACCATCAGGTGGCTGCACAATTCCCCCCGCAACTAGTGAGTGTCCAGCTTAGAAAAACGGTGAATGGGGGGAGGCATCAGAGGGGTATTTAAAATAATGCTCGGTGCAGAGAAAGTGCAGAGGGAGGGGTTTTTTTTCTCCTCTCCCCTACCACTCGGGCCCAGGGGCATCCCAGGAAGCTGCAGAACGGTTGGGACAGACAAGTCTTCACACGACATACAGCTGAGCTATGGAATTTGTTTCCACGGCCACCGTTCCAGATGCCTTTAAGAAGGGACTGGGCAGAGGAGGAGGCTCTCCGTGGCTACCAGCCGTGCTGGCCACGTGCTTCACCAGATGCGACATGCCTGCACACGCCAGTTGCTGGGGCGAGAGGAGGGCTTGGCCCCACCCTTCCTGAGGGGTCCCGTGGCCAGCTGCGTTGGCTGTGAGCCTGAAGTGCAGGATTCGGTGGCCCTTGGGTCTGAGCTCACGGGGCTTTTCTTATGTTTCAGAGATGCAGCAAGAAAATGCACGTTTCATGAAGGCACCTGCTTTTCCACTCAGATGAAGCAAACTTGAGGAGCCAGGTGTGCTCTCAAGACGACTTCCGCCCCAGTGAAGGGTGTTTGCGAAGACGCCGTGTTTAAATGGACGGCTGGACGTGGCACTTGATTCTTGCTGCCACGCTGAAGAACGGAACAAGCAAGCAGGGACCGGCCAAATTGCCGCACTTACCATGTCTGTCTGTTGCTTCTGATTCCCTGCTTCTTCCAAAGCTTGGGACAACTGAGCCTGCGAGAGAAAAAGAAAGAAGAGACGTTGCAGAGGACAATGAATATGAAGGAAAACAGAAGGAAGGGGTGGAAGCGAGCTTAATGCAGCGCAGTGGTACAGAGACAACGGTGAACGGAGGTCTCTGGCCCAAATGGTTGGTTTGGAATCACGGACCGGCTTTCCCATCCTTCTCCCAAGCTAATAAATGAATAAATAGATGCCAAAGGGTCAAAAGTGCTTCAGGCGTTTCTTCCACAGTGTTTTGCAGGCTGGCAAACCACCTATCTCAGCATGCACCTTGAAGAAGGGTCTCCAGGAGAACACGATGTTTGCGCAAACAAAAACACAGATGCGCAATGCAAAAGAAAAAGGCAATAGTTACGTGTTTGCTTTTTTCTTATTTTCTGCAAGAGGGACAAAACGCTGCGGCAATATTCTGCCTCAAATACTACATTGCCCTGGCTTCGGGATCCTGCTGCCCAATCGTGCTGAAGGTCTGGCCAGCTCTTAATGTGCAGGTGGCATTGCCCTATGAAGCCTTCACTGGAAAGTCCTCGGAAAAAGAGAGAGACAGAGACAGGGTAGTGGGGGGGGGGGGGTAGCATTCCAATCTTGTTGCAAAGAAATGGCATGAAAACTATTTCTTCTTCTTTTCCTCCTCACCTCTCTTCTCCTCTTTCATGAGATCGTAATAGAGACCCACCATCTTCCTGGTGGCTACAGAGAGAAGTCTGAAGGATAATCTCAAGAGATGCCACAAAGGCCTCTCCAAACCTGCCTAAACAAACCCAACAGGAATGGAACCCTTTCACACAAACCAATCCATGTCCTTTCAGACAGCTGTTCATTAAAACTCTTCGGGGTCTTTTCCAAGGCTGCATGAAACCATCTTTACAAGCACAACTCTCCAAAACAGGGGCGAACGGCGAGTCCTTCAGAGAAGTGGCGCTGCTGGGGAAGATGGGACCTCCAGCCGTAACAGCCAACCCAGGCGTAACACAGTGAGAATCACAGTCCCGAGAGCGTCATGTAAATAGCGTGGCTCTGCTCTGCAGACAAGCACCGCAATTATGAGCCTTCCTCGGCCGCGGGATCCATGGGAGCTACCACTAAGTCAGAGGAGCTGGCTGTGCCCAGCCTTCAATCATACCAGATTATTAAAGGAAGGGGAGCTCAAACAAAACGCTTGCAAGCCTCATAAAATCCCAGATCCTGGGGCAGGAAGACAGAAATGCACTCATTAAACACTGCGGGATGTAGCTGCTCCTGTGCCAATGACGGAGAGGGGCAAGAAGGGAGCCGTGATGAAATCGCTGCCAGGTTTACACCAGGCGGCTGTGTGTAAATACATGGACGCTTGGAAGCAAACTCGGCCCCAATATTTAATCAGGCTGAATCGTGCCGGGAGTCAACAGTGTGCCGTGAGCAGAAAGATTTGAAGTTTTTCTTGGCAATGAGGCTTGCAAAGTTCTTCAAAGGCAGGGTTTGCCTTGACTGGGGCACCACGAACACACCCCGAAAAGCAAGGAGCCTGCTCCCCAATACGTGAGGGTGCCCCAAATGGGTTTCTCTGGATTGCCGGGTCACCTGGGCAAGCTAACACCGGTTTCGCTCTGCCCTCAAATTTACAAGCCAAAGACTTTTCAACCGGACGTGCACCGAAGCTTGACACACACAGAGTTCGGGCTGACTGACCCTACCTGACCCGCCAACAGTCCAAAGGTGGCGGCTGCGACCCATCCAAGCACCGCCAGGCACTTGCCAGGTGAGATGCACAAGGCCTCCTTCCCTTCCGCTCTAGGATAGGGGAAGGGGGCTCAGCATCTCTCTTCTCAATGTGCAAACTATGTATTGCAGCACCAGGGCTGGCGTAAATACTTCCTGATGCTGGATGCAGCTGGGGATTGGGAGGACTTTGGAACATGTGGGTCCAAAGCTTCTCCCAACCCGCCCTCACTTTTCTTGAAGTCAGAAGTCCAGCACTCAAGAGCTGTGCAATAGGGAACTTCCTAAAGGAGTGGTGAAGGGGGACTGAAGGACAGGCGGTGCCCACCAAAAGGAGATCTGACTAATCCAATTAAAAGCACAACTGCCATTCAGGCCCCTTCCTTCCACATTCAGTGAGAAATAGGCATTAGCCTCGGCTGGGGATCAATAGATTTCTGTTGGGCTCCATCATGAAACTGTCAGTTGTTCAGTGGGACAGGCATCTGGGTCCCTCTGATTCTCTGGTTCATTTCAGGACCTGGGTCAGCGCTCCTGCAGCTAAGGTTGGGCAAATAAGTCCAGCGGAATCTGAGCGAATCTGACATGTGAGGCCCCCAGAGTCACCCTGAAAACTCCACCCTAACCCCAACGTGGAGTACTGACCAACGGGAGGCCACGGGGTGCCGTTCTGGCCCCTCTGTGGCTCAACATGATCATAAATTACCTGGATGAAGACCATGAGAAGGTCTTCGTGTTCACAAGTGAAACCAGCGTGGGAGAACTTTTACCTTTGGAGAGGGAACTAAGACTCAAGGTGACCTTCACAAGGTATAGAACTCAGTCAAAACTAGCCAAATATGTATCAACAGAAATAAAGATTAACTTCTACGTACATTTGCACAAATCCAGCGTGGCTGATACCTGGCTTGAAAGCAGGACATGTGGAAAAGATCTCAGAGCAATTCTAGGGCTTAACTGCCAGAAGAATACTTTCGGATTATAAGAAGAAATGGCAGTACTTTTTGAGAATGTTTCATCCTGTGTAGTGCAGCGCCACTTAAGAAGAACATTGACAACTAGAACATGACTATGTTCTCAAGACTAAACCCCCTGAGGAAAGACCGAAAGAGCTAGCTAGGTTCAGAGCAGAAGAAATGTTTTGAAAGAGTGCCGTACAGTGGATGGAATGACCTAAAAGCCTCTTTTGTTCCTCTGGATGGTAAGACCCAAACCATCTAATGGTTCTGATTTCTTAAAAAGGATATTTAAGCTAAATATTAGGCAGAATTTCTGCAGAATGCAAGCTGGACAAACACCCACGCGTGGCAACTAGCTCCTTGTGACCTGGCTGCTTACAACGGGGGCTGCAATTAGTCTGATCCCGGCTTTGCTTCAGGCACTCACCCAGTCTCCCATTTGTGTGATTTCGGTTAGCCTGCTTGCTCCTTGTCTGCTGACTGCTCCCATGCCCATGTGCCAGCCCCCTGACACATGGACCTCTTGGCTCCGACCTCAGCCTCTGCACCTCCACTCATCTCAGCTTCGATCTGGATCTTCCAGCGGCCTCAGACTTCCATTTACACCAATCACATGGGTCTCTACAGCCCAGCAACCTTACTTGGCCTGCAGGGAATAGAGGCAGAACTGCTTTAAAAGCAAAACCCATGGGGTGGAGAGGAAGAAAAGCCTTGGAAAGACCCTGTGGAAAACTCTTATTCTTGCCCAATATGTTTTGGAAATTATACTTCCGTTCACTGGAGGCCTTTTGCAGAAAAGGGTAAGGGGGAGGGTGGTCTTTTCAGAACCTCTAAATAGAAGAAAAGTGGCCCCCAACAAAAGAAATTTTAATTTCCAAAATTCGTTGACCCATAATAGATGGCCTTCTGCAGGCACTGAAGATTTTCTTCTCATACTCTCCTGTTGGTTCGCCTTCCATATACGTGCCTTCCCCTCTTTTTGCCACTGTTCTAAAAGCAGAATGTCAAATATGGAGGGAAGACGTAGCAAACGAACAGGTGAAGCAGGTACGACATGGCTGAAAGAAGAAGGGCCGTGAAACACACCTGTAACTGGACGGCTCCAGTAAGGCAGGTTTCCAAAGATTCATCGCTGGAAGCAGGACCCTCCCCTTTTCCCACATTCAGGAATTCCTCATTAAGTTATCCCTCCCTCCTGAGCCAAAGGGCAAGCCCAAAATACTGGATAATATGTTTTATAATTAGTTAACGCTTAATGCATTTTTGGACATGCATTTTAAAAAGCCACCCTGCTAACAGAATGGAGTGTTTCTTTTGTCCGCAAGATCTCACTTAAATTGACCTGCAACTGGTTTTGGGTGACTGCCTAATAGGCAAATCTGACTTGAAAAAGAATGATCATGGCGCAGGTGTCACAGGAATGCTGAAATGTTAGATTCTGGGTCAAAGGAAAGGTCTGCGGTCAGGAAAGCCCTGGGAGTCTGCTAGCAAAGCTTATTCACATGGTGCACTTTTCCGCTGGCAAGGAGGGCTCTGCACAGTCACTCAGCCCCCATGGAGAGACCGGGAGTGTCATGTGCGAGCGCTCGGATGAGATTCCCAGGTGCGCACAAGAGATGGAGGGCTCCGGTGGGAATGGCGGCTCAGACTCGGAGGAGGGGAGGGGAGAGCTGACCCGCCCGTGGCTCAGAGGTCTCACTCTGATATGGGAGTTGTTGAGACTAGGCAGGCCCAAACCCTCCCGGTGAGCCAGCCTGAGTCAGCTCTGGATCAGAGCACTTCAAGGACCACCAGTGCCCCCTCCCCCCCCCCCCCGTTGTGGGAAAGAAGCTGCAGAAGAGGCTGGGGAGGGGTTCTCGGGAGAACTTGACTTCCCAGGAGATGTGGACGTGAGGGCCCTCGATGTACCTGCCGGCTGGACCAAGTAGGGGCTCAGTGGGAAGAACGCCGGCATGCCCGCTTCCACAGCACACCCCCCCCCCAAGACTGCCCCCGAAGGGTTCATGAGCAGAGCTTTGGGTGAAGGGGAACAGAGAGAGAGGTCAACTTTCCACCTGGAGTGCGCGTTGCGGAGTTTGTGAACACCTCGTAGCTGTGCGGAATAAAGACTCTTTCAATAACTACTGAACTGCTTGCCTCGTTTGGGAAGGGACGCCCAGCTCACGGCCAGGGGATGGAGACAGTCTCCACTTCAAGCTTTCTGACGGAGCTGCAACTGCCGAAAGGAAGGTAAAGGGACATTTCCTGCCACTCCTTTTCTTCCCAGACTGGGTCTCCCTGACCAGGCGAAAAACAGCCCCCACCTCCTCGCAAATCAGCGGGACTGGGGGCCAG